GCGCACTTTCTCTCTCGGAAAATGGAAGTCCCAGTTCGGCATTTTCCTTTGTCTCATATACATGCTTCCAATTGTGTTACGTCAACTGCCTCTCTCTCTTTGAATTACACAGTGTTTTAGCATTTGTGCACATACATGAAGCCCACCATCTCTCAATGCAGATTTGTTTGTATATGTGAGGAAAATGGTTTAAAACAGAAATCGGTCATCATAGAGACCAAACACGGGGAAACGCCCAGTGGTGGAGCAAAACCGGGTATTTTCCGAAGTCGATAAAGCTCCTCCCCCTGTTAAGTCATAAAATCGTGAGATGAGAATTGTGTTACCCGCGCTAGGGGATAGTGAAATAAACTATATAAAGGAACTTCAAAAGACTGCCACTTAAAACCGGTTTGCATAAAGGAATACTATAATTCATCTGGACACGGTAAGGTGTCATCGTTGCGAGTGGTAAGATGAGAGCAGGAGACGCAAATTACAGAGATGGGTGTAGCAAGCAACTATAGGATACCATGGTTTATTGAATAATATTTCAGAAAGACAGAGAAGAGGAGTAACACCACTCAGTGTTGGTGACGTGGGTAGCAGATTGGGCAACAGAGATTACCGCGGCCATGCGACGCATGCTGTGGGAAAATAGCCGAAGAACGCAACGAAAGATACGCCATGTCCGAGGGAGAATGGCAAGAGCTTTATTCGGCATCGGATGTACATATTATTCTCAGTATTGATTCGAGAGCAAAACGTGGTACAATGTTTATGTCAACAATGCAGAATAGATAATAACGGCTCATAATGGTGAAAGCCACAAGACCATGAAGTCAGTTCCACATATATGTAATCCCATCCATTCTTCATATTATTTGCTGGTTAGAAAGCATGTGAACCACGGTTAACGGAGCAGGTTTCCATTGATTTTCACTTTAATCATCACAGCCACCAATCATTCTTGCCTCCTTTTGAACAACTGCAATCTCTCCCTCATCCATAAAGGACTAAAAATGTTTGAGAACCACTCTAGTACTGGGGTCGGCGTTTCTGGATATTTAAGTAACCCTTTACTCTCACCGATTAATTTCATTTTAGCGCAATTTTATCGAACTGCCTGATTTTCTTAACGAAGTATTAGTTTGTGTTGTTTATATATATTTCACACACATTTGACACAAGACTGTGTCAAATCACGGTACAATAATATTTAAAAAAAAGGAAAAACCTTCCATGAATTTTTGTTTTTTAAATCATATCAAAGCTTACTGCAGTTTATTGCTGTCAGAGAACTGAGCACATTTACTTGAAGTGTCAAAAATTATCTAGCACACACGGAGGTTAGTTACTCAGTTATGGTTGTAAACTATAACCATGCACTTTCGTGCGCCCGGTTTGATTGCTGTCTTTTGCTGCTTCATTTTAGTAAAAGAACAGAATGAGGATTGGAATATAGAGAGCGAATTCATAGGGGAAGATGGAGAATTGATATCGAGTGGTTTTAAGAGAATAATGAGTAGATGCACGAGCACCACTGTTTGTGACACCCAACCATATCACTCAGTGTATCTAACCATTGGTGATTATAGTCTCCGGGTCCCCAGCCAGAGAGCCTAACGGGGTCTTTGTGACCTAGTCTCCTGGTTAGAGTTTTCATACCTTCATGCCAGGTCTTCGTTTGACCACCCTTCACTTTTTTCAAACAGCTACCTGCCTCGACAAACATCGCTCGCCGTGGCAGCCTATTTGTTGACATGCATAAAACATACCCCCAACGAACTTAATCTATGTAGGTCGATCACTCACTCCAGTGGACGACCGCGAAGTCAGTGGCGCGAATGCTGCCTGTCGAAATCCCGTGCCCCGTAAAAACAAAAGAAAATTTCAAAAAGTGTACGGTGAAACAAAAAAATTGTTGTTCCATTTATTCGTAATCTTCCATTCTGACAATTACATTTCTTTCTCTATAATCTGTATTTTGACCCCTCTCCCGCGTTATTATTACTGTTAATATTGTTGTGGCGTTAGCAACATGCTTGTTCTCTAGCCGGTGTTAAACATTATATGTATATATACATATATATATATATATATATACACGTCTAACCTCAGCATTGCTAGTCTGGTTATCCCACCAGACGCGTACAATGCGACGTAGACAGCGGTGTTCTAACAGCGACAATCTATCGTTATCCTGTTCCCGTAGCAGCCAAGTCTCTGTACTCTGTAGAGCAGGACTTCCCAAACTGCTGCAGCATATACTCGACTCTTCACAGCCTATTTTATGCGCGCTGACAGTTCATCTGTGATGCGTCAGCCAGGTGAGATATAGCTGCCCAGATAGCAAAACTTATCCACTTCCTCCACAACTTCCCCAGTTATTTAGTCAGTTACTGCTCATGACCAAACGGTGCAGATTACTGTAGATCATTAGGCGGTAGGCATGCAAACGAGTTCCTCCACTGCTATCCTGTCTAACTCCGTTTTTGTAACATACACCCCCGCCGTTTTTGTCCAACAGTTTCAGCATCTTCTTTGCAGATTTAATTCACTTTCATTCTGTTCCGTAATTTATGTGAAGGAGTTTGCCTATGCNTGCTCCATTATCATCTTTTGTGTTGTTCGCGGGAATTCCAATAGCAATTACCAAATTATAAATTATCTATCTGATCGAACCAATCAGCATCGTTGTTCCAGCTAATGTACTGCATGCATTCTCGGGCTTCGTTTCTGAGGTTTAATTAAGCACCTATTTGTCATATAACCCAATTGTTAAAAAATTAGATCTTCAGTGGGATACAAACCCGTCTTATTCTGTGTGCAACTCACGCTCTACTCACCTTTGCGATTATTTGCACTTTCGGTTACGCATCCAACGCACGGCGGTATATGAACAAACCAGTCTGGTGACTGCTGCCATAGGAATCACTGGTCATTTACCGATTATTACCTAGCAGAGGCATTCGAACTCGGTCGTCATCATCCCACTATCTATAGTTGATTTTCTGGTGACTTTTGAACAGCAGCTTTCCTACCCATAATGTTTTGATCGTACAAACAATGCATATGAAAATAAGCAGAATTAGAAAGACCGTTAGTATTATCAATTTTCGTGGTAGTAATAGTAGTGCCGGTGTTTCGGCTCTTACTGTTTGTGTAGCTAAAATCAAATGATTCCGTCAATCGTCCTGTATATTTTGTATATATGTATATCAGTAGCCTAAAATACGAAGAAGCGTTTCTACATTTGCTTTCTGAGTCGTCAACAGCCGTGCAAAGTGCCGTCGTCGGTCTAACGGTGTCTAGTTTGCCGTAAACTTGAACACAGAATCAGAGCACGAAGAGAAGACGGCGAAATCGAG